CAACGGCGGCGAGTACATGTTGCACGAGTTCCGCAACTACCTCGCCGAGTAGTATCCGCCACGAGACACCGCCACCGTACTCGCCGCAGTCGAACGGTGTAGCCGACGCGTAAATCGCACTATCGTTGAGGGTCTGATCTCGCTGCTCAATCAGTCCCACGCACTCAAGAATCTCTGGGCTGAGCACTCCTTGCCTTTGTCTTTGTCAAGAACCGGTCACCGCTTGCTGCGCTCTCGGGAGGCGTCCCTCTCGCTGTCTGGCGGTTCAAGCTTGTCCGCGTGGACATGCTCCGGGTCTCCCCAGCACCGCACCGGAGGAGGACTTGATCATCCTCACGACGAGTTCTTCACCGGCGACACGCAAAGCGATGCCGTCGCCTCAGACTCCGGTGCGCGATCTGCCGGCTGCTCCACACGCGCCTCTGCGTCCTGCGCAAGCCCGCGATGTGCGTACAACGCCTCTGCCGCAGCCGGTCTTTGTTCGCGAGGACGCACCCTCGCCGCCTTCGCCGGAAGCCAAATTCATCTTGGGCATCCAGGTCCACCGGCGCGAAAATGGCGGCATCTTCCTCTCGCAGCGGGCGTATCTTGAGGATGTGCTTCTCCGCCTTGGTCACGCCGACGGTCGCACGTCACCCACACCCATGCAGCCAAATCTGCAGTTGGCTGTCGCATCGGAGGACCACCAGCCCACCCCGGCCTTCCGCTCCCGTTACCTTCAAGCGGTGGGTTCGCTGATGTACGCCATGCTTGGGACGCGACCCGACTTGTGCTATGCTGTCGGTGTCCTAGGTCGACACGCCGCACGTCCCGACGCCTCGCACTGGGCAGCCATTGTCCGGGTGCTGCAGTATATCAAGGGCACTCTGGACATGGGCCTCGGGTTTCAGCCGGACGACTCGCCTCTTGCCGGTTTTGAGGCGTACTCCGATTCTGACTGGGATGCCTGCCGTGTCACATCGCGCTCGACTATGGGCTACACCTTTGTCCTCGCCTCCGGCGCCGTCTCCTGGTCGTCCAAGCTGCAGCCGCGCGTCACCGCCTCGTCAACCCGAAGCCGAGTATCTCGGCCTCTCGCACACATCAAAGGAGGCAATCCATCTGCGCAGCTCCTCACTGAGCTTGCGCAAAGCCAAGAACGCCCTGTGGTGCTGTTTGGGGACAATCAGGGTGCCAACGCCCTCTCGCGCGACCCCCAGTTCCACGATCGGACCCGCCACCTCCGCCTCACAGAGCACTTTTTGTCTGCGAGCAGGTCCAGCAGGGCGACCTGACTGTCAAGTACATCTCAACGGCGCGAATGGTAGCCGACATCATGACCAAGTTGTTGCCGGTGCCTGCCTTTGTTAAGCATCGCACCGCCTTGGGCATCCGGCCGCTTCGAGCGAGGGGGGGTGTTGCTGCAGACGCTCTCCTGACCGGATGACTTGGCCGGCCTGTCCGCGGACCTTCTTCCCTTCAGACCTTTTTGGTCCTTTCTCTCTTGCTCTCCAGCACTTCACTCCCACTGCCTGGGGAGCAGCTTTCACACTTTCACAAGTAGGACACAAATCGAGGTGGCCTTGACCGCGGGCGCAAGTCTCGCGTAAGTTGACCCTGCTCTCTATACCCTCAGCCCTCCCTCCCCTCTCACTGTACCCTCCTTCTTCTCCAACCTGATTTTCCTGACTCCAAAAGAGCAGGTTTTTTCTTGGGGCCTTTTCCTCGCTTCTCCCACTTTGAGTAGTATGCACGGTCTACATGGGCTCTCTAGCTCGATATGACTTGGAACTCGATTTACCTACCTATCTCGCGTAAGTTGACGTTTGGCCGCTGGGCGAATCCTTGTGCGACAAGGTGGATTTTGTGGCCGGTGCCTTGGCTGTTCTGGACCCTCTTGCCTTGCTAGACAAAGCGGGCCCCAAGGATCTTGCAGCAGGCGGTACCTCGCTGTGGTTGACGGGGTGGAAGATGTCGTTCTTGTTTCGGAGAGACGTGAAGTCGCTTCGCTCGCCAAGGCACCAGCGCTCGGAGTCCGTGTCTCGCATCGCTTTGCGGTGATGCGAGGGTCGGACGTCGGGAGCGGAAAATCTTGTCGGAGGCAGAGAGGTCTTCAACAGCGGCCGTGTAGAGGGCCTCAACTTTGGCAAGCGTGGCCTCAAAGGGGTCGTTACCGAGGAAGTCGAGCTCGTCACAGGACTCCTTGTCAGGGAGAACGGGCTCGGGCAAAGGCGGCGAAGGCGGCAAAGGGGCACTGGCGCGGTGGAAGACAGGCAGCGGTGGCGGTGTCATCACTACCTCACGGATAGACAGATAGATAATTCGAATCTCAAGTCATATCAAGCTATAAGGAGCCCATGTAGACCGCGGATACTACACAAAGTGGGGGAAGCACTGAAAGGCCTGAAGAAAAAACCTGCTCAGTGAGATAGATAGATAGATTGATAATTCATGTTTGAAGTGATATCGAGCTAATGAGCCCATGGAGACCGCGGATACTACACAAAGTGAGTAAGCGAGGAGAGGCCCGAAGAAAAACCCCGCTCTTTGGAGTTGGGAAAATCAGGTTTGGGATAGAATGGAGGGTATAGGTGGATAGGAGTGAAGGGGGACGGGGCAGATCAGAAGTCAGAAACTAAACAGGCGGATCCTCCGAGGGCGGGGAGTAAAGGGAGTCAAAGCGGCCGGAGTCAGTGAGGAACCGGAGAGTCGCCTTTGTTGCGCGCGGGTCGCTGAGGAGGTAGGCGAGAGAGAGGGATTTGAGTCGGAGAGAGGAAAGGAGGGCTGTGCGCGGAGCGGCGTAGAGCGGGCAGTTGAGGAGGAAATGTTCTCGGGTTTCTGGCTCACTGCCGCGAGCGCAAAGGAGCCGTTCGGGATTGAAATGCGCCTTGTATGCGTCGAGATCGCAAGCGCCGGTCCAAGCCTAGTGAGGAGAGTCGACTGGCGGCGCGAGAGCGAGGAGTGGAAACGGGTGAAAGTGAGACCGGGCGGAGAAGTGGTGATTGCGCGAAGTTGGGCGCCGGTCGGGGACAGCGACCAGAGCGTCAACCAGCCGTCCTTTTGCGTGGCCTTGAAGGCGAGCCAGCCTGCAGAAAGGCTCCTAAGCAGCAAGCGCCCGTATCGGATCGACCCTGAGCTGTTGGCGGGTGCTGATGTCGTGACGGCGGGTCGAAAGCCTCCCCGGCGCCCGAGTCCTCCTTTGCCTTTGTCATCCTCCTCCTCGCTGCTGCTGTCGCTCGTGCACTCGTCCGCAAGATCAGGACAATAAGCGAGCACCCGCTTGCCTGGACTGGATGGCTTCAAGCGCCTCCGCCAGGGCGCCAGCGCCTTGAGACTAGCATTACCTCGTCAACCCGCGGCAATTCAACTTGCTTTCTCGCCACCAACGGATCCCTCCACCCCTTTGGGCCCATAGCTCTCCTTCCCATTCGAGCCCTGTTCCCACTTTTATCTCTGTAGCCGCTCCCCTCACCACCTCTGACCTATTTCCCTCAGTCCAACCCGAGTTTCCTGACTTGAAAGAGCAGGTTCTTTCTTTGGGCCTTCCCTGCCACCTCTTTCTTTGTGTAGCGTCTCGATTTTCTTAAGCTCATTGGCTCAGTGTGACTTGAAACAAGATTTATTTATCTATCTATTTAACTGATCTGCCTCTCTGTCAGGCTGTGCTTGAAGCTGCCCTGTGTTCTTTCTTTGAAATCCAGGCAATTTACTGCAAGCTTTCTTGCTGTAGAAATTGTAGACAAGTGAACTGCAATATGCTGGCTTGCAACTGAGCCTTGATGAATGTCCATCCTTCCATGATCTGCCAAAGTTTGTGCAAGGTGATGATATCCAATCCCCCATCTTGCACCTTCGACTCAACCAGATCTGCTGTGTTGCCAGCGCCAGTGTTGTTGGGTATATCCAGGGATGTACCAGGTCCTGAACCAGTGCAATGATCAGTCAGAGATAGTATGAATAATGTCTGTTCCCCTTTCTTAAGCTACTGTAGCTCGCGCCTGCCTTGCCTGTCTCCCTTGCCTATCTTCAGTGTTCTTCCTTATCCTGTGCTCGTCAGGCACTTTTGATGAACATTTAGGCTCTTGTCGCTGTTGTCTCCAGTGACAAAGGCAGAAAGAAACCGCTCTGCTTGTCGTGTCAACTTCAACTGTCATCTCTGCGCATGACTTGCAGACAATTTGCTCGCAGGGAAGTGCTCTTGCTGTTGTACTGCTGGCCTGAAATCCGCTATCAGTGCAGACCCTACAGAGGAGCTTGTCACCTGCTGGGCTGATTCCGCAGTGTTGAACCTGCTCAAGTCCCCATCCCTTTCAAGGTCACTTGTCTCCGCTTCCCACTTTGCTCACGCTACTCTTTCAATGCGAGACTATTCTCTTTGCAGTGCTCGAGATCCTCGGGCAGACGTTCCTTGTCTCGCTCCTGCTTGAGACCACATCTCTGTGGGTGATTTCGCTGTCTCTGAACTGTGTCTGGCTTGGAGCTCACCAGAAGTTTTGCCTTACAAAGTCTGCAGTCTGAACATAAGATACTGATTTCAGGCACAGCACTAGTGCGGGGTCTCAGGGACAGCCGCCATTCAGCTTAAATGTTCATTCTCTGCAGAATCCCGTGGAAATGGCTGTTTTTCTTTTGATCCTTGCAGGTTTGCCGCTTGTCAGCCTTCTCCCACTCACGACAGGGCAAGGTCTGCATATGGACCTACAGTTCTGAGAAGACATCACACTTTGGCTGTTCAGGATGGCCTTCAGATAGTTGTGCTTCTTTGCCCCTCAGGAATCCAGGATGCAGGAAGGCAGCAGGACACGCACCCACTGCGGGTGTAAGTCTGGCGAGATCATATTGTCTGAGCCGGCGTCTACATCCTCACTGTATTGAAGAACCAGGGCAGAGTCAGCACATTATGACAGCTTGGAACAGAGGCCTCAAAAAAAGTTCAGCTGCAGGTGAAAAGGGGATACAAGAGAACGCCGACATAAAAGGCAAGGGTTTTTAAATGCAGCAACTGGCGCAAACATTCACAGGCCTACTTGGTCTAGTAGTATGATACCTCATTCGGGTTTAACAGCCAGTTCGCCTTGCGAATGTGCTTTGAGGTGGTCGGCGGTTCAATTCCGCCAGTGGGCCTTTCCTTTTTTTTTTCTTTTTCGGTGTTTCACTCCTGGGCACCGCGCAAAGCATGTGCCGGGATATCCCAGCCTGGAACCCTATGGAGCAGCCTGTGCCATACTTTTGCATCTCATGTTCTTCCAGACAAAGGTGAGGAACACATGTAGTCTTCACCATTGTGCTACTCCACCAGCCGCCTGTTCTCCGGTCTGCCGACTCTGCAGACTCTGAACTTCTTGCTGGGTCGGTGTTTCTTCCTTCGCCTCGCTTGTCGTTGACTTCCCATTCTGAGTCTCCTCCTCGCTCCTTTCTTTTCGAACGTCACTAACACTTCTTTTCTTGCAGGTGATCTACTCTATCGTACTGGACTCAAAGTGTCGGTCGACGCCTCAAGACTTCGTCGTCGGATCAAGGAGGCGGGTGTTGGCGGATTCTCTCAGTCGTTTTGTGTTGTAGACTCTCTTCTCCCTTAGCATCCCCCTCTCGCTCAGATCTCTTGAAATCCCAACTCGAATCACTGTTTATTGGCTCTAGTCCGTCCATACGACCTACGACCCGGCAAAGCACGCAGAAGACCCGCCCTCGCATCGAGCTGAGAGCGGTGTCCCTGCACTTCTGAAGTTGATAAATGCAATGTTTGAGAGTTGCCACTGCAGCCGGCGGCATCTCACCACAATAGCAGGCTATAAAGCTACGTTCAGATATTCAGTTGTGCGAGGATTGTGAGATTGCTGATGCTGCCTGCAGTTGTTTGTGTTGTCTGTCTTAGGATATCTTCAGGCGGTGACAACAGAGGGTGGCAATTCCCTGAATGCTTCACCATGGCATGTTCGGCTGTTACTATAGTAACTGACAAAGCCACTGGGTAGAAAGGGACCACTACAGCCAGAGAAACCAGAAAGAAGGTGGGAGCCCGAAAAGCGGGGCCGGGAAGGATTGATGTCCTTGCCATTCCCTGAGGCAATGCGACTCCCTGCCGGAGCAACGCCTCTGGCGTATCTTTGTATGTGAAAGTTCATGTAGTTTGTGCGCCTTCCATGAAGCATTGCCTTTCCGCTAATGCACTGCTGCACTAGCATCGGCAAGGCGGAATGGCGGATCTTAGGTTTGTGCAGTGCAAGCACGGTGCAAGATCCGGAGGCGTGTCAGTCGGCTCAGAGGATTCATTAGGAGAGTTGGTTCCTCCCAATGGAAAAAGAGCAACACAGTAAAGTGAGCGGAGTGACACTGAGGCCTCAGGCAACAAGGAAAATTTGAAAGCATTGCGTGTCACACGAGCCTTGAGCCAACACACACCACAGAGTGGTCATGCCCCCACCTGGTTTGTAGTTGGATCTTGAGCCCATTTGTGCCAGACCAGTCTTTGCTGACAAAGTGTGGTGAGATCCAGGTCAAAATAATTCCAGATGCATTCAGGCCAGGCCTTTAGTAAAGTGGCGCATCAAGCTCATGCACACACACCTGCAGCTGCAGACCTTACCCCTTGGCTTGTTCACAGGCTCTTTGCAAGGGCAGGTACTCATCACTTGAAGTCCGCAGTGTATGGACAACAGAGTGTTGTACCGTCTGTACACTGACTTCTGGTTCAAGCTTCTTGTTGGTTGACCCGAGTGCAGCCGCTTTTTTTTTTGCACACTTCTCTAGTGACTTTTGTATACAGGCATATGTTCATGGATGCCTACAGTGCAACAAATGCGACCTGGCCTCTACCCGTGTCAGCACTCTCGGAACCTAGGGGACGGGGCTAGAATCAAGAACTCATGCTTGTCTGCACAGGAGCCAGGACTTCCAGTACAGCAGGCACACTCGGAACAATTCAATAGCGAGTGAAGTGCAGGCCCAGGTTGGATTTGCCGGCAAGAATCTTGCAGAATTTACCGCTGATCACTTACTTGATTTATATGCACTAGATTTGTTACAGTCCCCATCGAATGGGGATGTGGCGCAGTGGCAGCGCGTTCCGTTTGCACTCTGCAAAGTTTCGGAAAGGGCCCGGGTTCAAACCCCGGCGTCTCCAAAAACACCCGCTCCTCTGGAGCAACATCTTTTTGCATCCCCGGCAGATGCAGTAGCGTTTTCTTTCAGGGACATCATAGCCATACGCTTGCCGACAAAGAGCAATGAATCCGCTAGGTGATACTGCCAGTCAGCGTCTCGCGGCAAACGTTTGGCAGGGGCTGCTCATCTTTGCGATCGCGATCGCGATGGGCTGCACAATGCACACGACCGAGACAAAGCCGACACGAGAGGGTACGCATGTACGCATTTCAGACCACCGAGGGTGACACAGGAGAAGTTGGATACAGCCGAGCGGAATACTAGTCGAGTCGGGGGAAACAAATGATCAAGAACAACACGGAGGACTCGTACCCGTTCGCAAAGAAGCCGGCGACACAGGCCGTCACGAGAGTACCTGCACGGGTATTCGTCAGCCGAGGCAGCATTTGGCTCGATTCGAAGGGGAACGCACGGCGAGCAAGACAACCGCAAGAACCACCAGGAAGACGAGCAGCAAGCAGAACATCCGGCGACCGGCTTTCCGCTGATACGCGTGCGCTTGAGTCAACTGGTCAGAGGCGCCGTGGGTATCACGCGCCACCGAGATGACGTTGGTTTCGATGTTGTCTGTGCAGAATCAAAAGTCAGCCGTGATCAAGGCGAGATCCCCTCTACGACGCGCAACGAACCGATCATGCTCTGCTGTTCCCCAACGATCTGGCCGAGGTCTTTGAAGATCTGATTGAGCTCAGTGATGCCTTGCTCGATCTGTTCGATCTCCCCTTCGCGCTCCTGGATAAGCTGTTCCTGGAAGTCCACCTCGGCGTCGGACACCTGTGGCCGAGTTTGCTGTCTACTCGGGCTCTTCGCTATGTCAGCATCCCCTTCAACCGCTCTGTGCTCAGTGGGGTTGGCTGGCGCACAATTCAACAAGCTGCTCGGCGGACGAGGCGACATTCGGCTCCCTTGAAACGTGCACGTGCGAAGATCAGGACACGTAAACGGGCGCGACGAGAGAAATCGGATACGCACAACCGGTCCTGTTCTTGCTCCACTCTTGCTTTCGCCTCCTGGACATATAGTCGCTGACGTTCAGCGCTGCGCCGCGAGGTGGTTTGGAAGAGTTCCAGGGCCCGCTGAAAGTCTGCGGTGACTTTTTGCTGTTCCTGTCGTGATTGAACCTGTGAGGGGCATATCGGTCAGATTGTATATAGAGCCGCCGCCCGAGCTGCCTTCGGTCACGCGAGGGCGCAGTAGAGACGAGCAGCCACTGCGAGCGAGTTGGCGTACCTTGTCCGGCCCGAGCCGCCAATCGCCCAGGTGCTTTACGTCCCCAGTCGAGCTCTTCAGCACTTCGCGAGTGGAATCCTGCAAGTCGTGCCTGCAAAGAGTGACATCAGCCTCTGAACGCAGTGCTGCAAGATGATTCAGCCGCCGCGCAAAACCGACAGGCGTGACCTCAAGGTCGGGTTGTCCCGAGGCGTGCCCAAGAGCTCGACGAGTTTTGCGATGGCTGCTGTATTGGCGGAAATCTTCTGCACCTGCACCGAGACCCGCCTCGCCAGTGCCCGGAACCCGGCGTCGTCGCCTACTTGAGAAGAGAGTCGAGTCAGCGGATGTTTGAAAAGACGGACGGAAAAGCAGTGACTTGCCAGAGTCTGTAGAGCCAATAAGAGGTGCCCGGTCTCGCACGCCTCGCTCGAGGTCTTGGAAGCTCTGTTGTTACGGACGATAGACGGGCAATCGTCAGGGGGGGGGGGAGAGGATGCTGCCAAGAGGAGCCACGCGGGTAAGCTGCCCGGGCTGACATACCATGCCGGTCGCTTTCAATCACGTGCTGCTCTTGCCGCGTATCGAGAGTGCGTGTGCAGCGGAGACGTCAACCCCTAGCCGCGAGTGGGGCGACGCCGACTTTGAATCCAAAGCGACCTTCAGCGCGTCGAGCGAATCGGATCGCCTTCGTGTGCTCACGTCCACCCGTGGAACCGAGTTTCGACTTGCGCGAAGGAACCAAGTCTCGCACGAGTGCCGCAGCGTTTGACCGGCAGCCTCGCCCGTGCCCAGCCGCGGTGGTCGCCATGGACCCTCGCTTTCAGCAACACGTACCGCCGACAGGCCCGGCGTGGCCAAGCCCTCACGATCCGGCGTACGGTGGCCCCGGAGCAGACACGCGTAGGCTGTCACCCCTCTCGCAACAAGGCGCACCGATGCCTTCGCCGTCAGACTCGCGACCCGGATATCCCTCTCTCGCTCCCGGAGGGCATCCGCTGCACGGCACTTCACCGGCATCGGCATCCCCGAGCGCGTACCCGCACCTACAGGGACTGCCAAACATGCCGCCGCCTATCTCGGAACCGGAACACCTCGCCGCGGGGATGGCTCACATGGGGCTTCAGTCGTCTCCGAACCGCGAAGTTTCCGTACGTCTTTCTGACCCTTGAGGGGACATACAACGTGCTGACCGTTTGCCTGTCGTTTACTTGTAGACTCCGGACTCACTTGCGCCGCAAGCCGTCGTTCCTGCGCGCGGAAAACGCGCCGCACGCGCGTATCATGACCAAGGCGTCAGCCCGGCCCCACAGCCAACCCCGTCAGGATCGCACCTGCCCCCAGGCCAACCCTCGTACTTCCCGCCCCAGCAGTTCTCCGAGTCGTCCCAGCCGCCGCCGTCGAACGGTATGATGCAGAACCCGCATTACCAGAGCGCGCCGCCCTCTTCCGCCCCGCTAGACCCTCGATCGGCACCTCCCGCCTCGTACCATAACGACGGCCCGGGCATCCCTCAACCCCCGCATACGGCCGGACAGCGCATTCCAGGAAAGCAGCGCATTCGCATCGATCCGGACCACATCCCGAGCCCCGTCAACGTGCAGGAAGCCGATCAGCAACTCTACCGGACCGAGCCCTACTTGACTTGCTCCCGCACGCCTGCTCCTCTTGCCAGCACGGACTTTGTTGCTGTAGATCAAGGTGCGCTCCAGCTCGCACGAGGCAAGGCTCCACAGAACTCGGGACTGACC